CCATGTTTCTGTAAAGGCTGGCAGCCCACTCTACAGTATACAGAAAAGCAACAAAGGGTGCTGCCTTTACTCCTTTTTTTTTTTTTTTTTTTTTTTTTCTATAGCAAATGGAAGAGTAATTGTCAAAAATGGGTTAGAAACTGTTGTAAAAGAGTTGATAATTGTTAAGCATGTACTGTTGGTTTGGTTATGGTAAAAGGATGAAAAGGGTAGTTATGAGAAATACGGTGCTCAACATACCATATCACACCTAAGTGCACCATCCCTCGAGCGAAACGAGCCAGCCCGGACAGAGCTGTAATGGGCCAATCAAGCGCCGTAAACCTTCATGCAAATGAAGGATCAAAAAGAAACCAATCCAAACGCACAAAAAACGGGACAAAAACTGGGTCAGCTTCTGACTCAGTGCTGCTCCACCTGGAACATCGGGGACATAGCCGCTCACGAAAAAGCCCAGCGCCGGCGCTGCGGCATCCTGGACGGGACCGCTCCTGCTGGGCCCGCAGGCCCCGTGCTTTAGGCTTTTTTATGATAATAAATGCTGAAATCACTTTTAGTACGGGGAGCGTGGTCCCGTTTTTAACAGTAATGCTCTGCAAAGAAGTGACCAACATCATACAGTGTTTGTTCTATTTGTCCTGGCTTCTATTCTATTCTTTGAACACAAGACAAGGTGAAACACCCTGAAGGAAGGGACATGGCTCCTGTCATTGCAAGTAATTTGGACTTGTAGCATGGTGAGGGAAGAAAAGTTTTCAGGGCAAGTTTAGAGAAAAGGTAGAAGAACTTCTAACAAACTAACTTTAAAGTTGACAGATATTCAAACTCCCAGTGCAGTGAAAAAACTTTATAGAAACCAGAGATGTGTACAATTTGTTGTAATTCAAAGCAGTCCTGGAAGCATAGGATAGCAAGGAGAAATTGTTCATAAATATATTTTACTTTTATTCTGTCCTAGTGTTGAATGAATGACATGGTTCTAATTATAAGGAGAAAAGCTTAAGCAACCAAGTACTTTTTCCATACAATACCTTTTTTGCCCTGTGGCCCCCAGTGTGAAATGCTCTTGTGCACGGTTTAAGCCCAAGTTCAAAAAGAGACCAGAGAACTTTACACGAAAAATCACTGAGTATCATCAAACACAGCCATGAAAGGGGCTCAGGACATGCTTTGGGGGCTGGCAAGCACAGGAAGCTAAAAGTAAGAAAAACCACTTCACACCTGTCCTGTTTTCACATTCTTTCTCTAGGCGCTCCTGGCTACTCTGAACGAAGACACTGAACTGGAGGAACTTTTTATCTGAATCATGCACAGCTGTCTTTACATATTCCTATGTACCTGTATGAGTCATTCTTGTAGAATGTTTGGATGAAGAATATTACATACCTGTGCAATACACTGAATTTTTGTCATGCTATAGTACAAACTGAAGTGTGAACAAGCTTTGCTACAGTAGTTAAAGTTATTCAGGTTAAATTTAAAGAACTTGTCCGAATTTAAATGCCTAAAGGCTAATCACAATTATTGATAGTGCTAAACATAGCCTTGACAACCTCATACCATGATTTTAACAATGTCCTGACTTAAGTTACAGATAACTCAAGTTACGTATGGTTTAGCTCTTAAGTTTTCACTTAGTTATTGACTGTATGAGTTAAATTTATTATCAGACTAATTAAAGTGTTCTAAAATAATGTAGTTTCTAGAAAAAATAAGCTCCCAAATTCCACTAGTGAAAATGAAATAAATTAATTAATGTTGTAAAAAAATTCCAGTTTTCACCCAAATCAAGGGGGGGGGGAGGGGGGGGAAGTAATTTTATTGGAATATTATGCATGCAGAAATTAATTGTGGTTTTTTTTTTAATAGAAGTTACTTGTGTTACATTAACAGATAGAGACATATAACCAGATATAGAATGACCCTTTCAGGGCTTTGAAGCCTGCTGTGAGATGTATGTGGCACTCTTCAGTATGAAGTAGGAAACTCAGAAAACAGATATTCAAATCCTCCTTGGTTACCCAGCATCTTTTTCTTAGGCAAGCTTGCTGTCTAAAAACTGGGACCTTCTTCTCTTGTTCTTAATCTAATAGCTTGAATATCTCTTCCATATTCTCCTTTACATATTTATGAATCTCCTAAGAGTAGTTAGCTGCTTTAACTTTACAGAAAGAGTCAACATTATTCACAGGAAAAGATCCCAAAATTGCAGAAGAGTTATGAGAAATGCCACAAAAATTCAAATGCTATGTGACAGTCTTGCTACTTTTAGGCCCACTTTTAGGTCTACTTCTTGGAAGATTAAATCTAACCTGACTTTTAAAGCATGTAGTCCTGTGCTCAGGAGTATTAAATTTCAAGATGCAACCACTACTATCTGTAATCAGACTGATAATTTTTCATCACATTTTTTGTAGAATTCTCACCCACTGCAACCTAGCAGATCCCAAGCCAGAGGCTCTCCCTGAATTACTCTGATTTACTAAATTAATTGATTTACCAGTGTCCTAATTAAAGAGGAAAAATGAAACAAAAAAAAATTGTGTATTAAAGTGGTAAGTACTACATGGTGTAGCAGAATATAAAATTTGTTTCTTCTGCTGCTACTTAGTGCATTTAACAAATAAACCTATTGAGCAATAACAATTCTAATAGCTGTATCGATAAAACAAGCTAAGACAATTTCCTACTCCACTTCCTCCACTCCTTTTGAAATCTGTGTATTGGCAGCAGAAAATAAATTACTTTCTCCTTTGTTTTAAGCAACAGATCTTCTCCAATTTTAGAAGCTAACACCAAGTTAAGGAAAACAAGACACAAGCCTGACCCAAACCCGATACAAAAAGCTCGGAACAGCCTCACTTGCTGCCACCCTTAGGGTCAAATATTAATCCATTCTACCAAAGTAAATACTATGTATTATTTTCCCCTCATTGTTGGGTCCATTTTCAAAGTCTCAGCCATTTCAAATAACATCTTATAAAGTATTATATCTTATATCTTTCAAATAAGATCTTATAAAGTATTGTACAGCTTTCATTTAAGTATTGGTATTGGGTATTAGCTGCATGAAAGCCCAGGCATATGCTTACCTTTAGATAATATTGCAACCCCACCAGATTTAGCAAAATCTCTTCTATAGGTAACATAAACACATCTATGTGATCAGGGCTTTGTTATTGCTATTACCTAAACCAGCTCTGGATCCCATGTAATTCCAGTGCAGCAGTTTACTTTGGATTCTTACGATAACATCTGGAAAAGGTAAACACTTGGTAAACTGATTAAAAAACCTAATTATTAGAAGACATAAAATTTGATTGGAAAAACCATTTTACATGTTAAATACACTCCATCAGTTCTGCTTTCTACTTCACTTTTTCATCCTTAACAAGGATCAGTTGTATGTCTTTGCTATATAAAAACAACCAAACTAACAAACCAAATTAAAAACCACAAAAGAAAAAACCCAAACAAACAAACAAAACTCAAAAAAACCCAAACTATAAATTAAACATCATATTAACCTAGCCCAGTCAGAGGTTGGGTTAATTTTGATGAGATGTCCATAGGATTCCAGTTCCAGTTCTCCCTGGAACTTTCTGAAATCATCATCTGTTCTAAACATTTGATACCAGTGGCAAACAGCTATTTAAAACTGATTTCCAAATCCCATCTTATTCCTGTAGAATCAGGAGGCCTTCCAGAAAGGCCTTGGGCCACTGGTGATCAGACAGAAAGCTGGAATTCAGCACAGGTGCTTACAGGCTGGAGACCGAGCTTTCGCCTCAATGTGTGTGAAAGCCTCTTCATTAACACACCATTCCCAAAACTTCCACAAGCGAAGTACAAGCTCTTATCAAAACGGCAGGAGTTGCTGCTGCTGCTATGACATGCATTCAACAACAACTTCCAGTGCAAAAAATGCTACAAATGTTAGTCACAACCTAATTCTCTCCCTCAAAAAGAAATAATAAAAAAAAAAAACCAAACCAAAAAAGACCAAACAAACAAACCAAAAAACCCCCAAAAAACCCAACCAAAAAAAAAACCGGAAAAGCCACAGTATTCTCGATCCTTTGTCTCCTAAAACTCAGACGCCAAGGGACGGACCCCATACGGCAAGAGAGTGGGAGGGCATGACAAGTGCGAAGAGAGGAGGGAGGGTGTGGCCTCTTCTGTTCCATCCCCCAATGGGGCTATTTAAGGAGAACGGGATTACCTTCGACGGGCTTTTATCGACGTCGGGAATTGAGCTTCGCGATCAAGGAAAAGCGGTCGTCTGCGCTTGGTCTTCTTAAAAAAGTTCGTAAGGGTTTGGCTTGAAAATCCTTATTTTTTAAGTGTGTGAGCGCAGCCTCCGCCCAGTGAGTGATGGTGAGTGAACGCCGAAGGGGAGCCACGCTGGGGCAGTGGGATACGGGGCGTTTGAACGCCGAGCCACCGGGAGGGCTTCTGCTGGGTGATGTGCCTTGAGCGGGGACCCCCAGCACGCAGCGAAGCGGAGAGTGGAGTAGTAAATTCTTCAGGTTGTTCTTGGGGTGGGAAACGGGAATGCCCTCAGCTGGAGCAGTGTCCCATTGTAACGCGGTGGCGGGGCTGAACCCCTGAGGGCTACTAGCATTTTTACTGTCTTGAAGGTTTTAACACCTTACGAGGTGAGTGGTTAAGGTGAAGGAGGGAGTAACGCAATTGAAAGGCCGGGGACTTGTGCGGGGGAACCTCTGGCTCGTAGCTGTCGGCGTTACGGTGTGTGGGGGGTGGCTGGGCGTCGGAACGCGCTTCACACTCTCGAGCGGCCATTTTGTGATGGCGCTAAAATAGCGCCGTCCCGCACGGCTGGGTGGGCGCACCTCCGCCTGCCCGTGGCGGTGTAGCCGCTGCGCGTAGGGTCCGGCAGGACCCCTTGTCTGGGGCTTGCGAATAGCTTTCATTGTCCTGAGCACCAGACCTTCCTGTCCACGCCCCGTCGGCACTGGGCAGCCGAGGTGTGAGGTAAAATGGCGGCAGCACCACGAGCGGCGCCTCGCCTGCCCGAGGTCCTACGGCCCCCCTTGCCGGAACAAAGGCCCGGCTTCGTCCGGAGTGCCGCAGGCTCCTCGGCTCGCGCCAGCATGCTGTTTGCGCTTTCTATTTGAGAAACGTGATTTGCGACTGTGGCGCTGACGCTTCATACACTCTACGAGTAAGGTGGTGGTTTTTTTATATGCAGGCGGAGTTGTGCTTAGCGTGCAGCGCTGGGCCGAGGGCTCCACTTAGCGCCCAGCGGGAGGGCTGCGGCGACTGCCGTGTTCTTCCCTCAGGCACCGGCGCTGTCATGGAGACTGCGCTCGGTGTCCGCGCAGGGGGGCTGGGTCACAGGGTTTAAATGTTTCAATTTAAAAAAAAAAAAAAAAACCTAACAAAAAAACCCCCCAAAAAACAAAAGGACTAACTTACTAACTTACTTTAGACAGAGAAGTGACTGAGGCCAGGGCCACACTGAGAAATCACGGGCTTGTGTGAGCAAAAAAAAAAAAAAAGTGAACGTTTTTCTCTCCTGGATAAGCATAAAACTGAGTGATGTTTGTAACACACGCGGGTGGGTAGGTAGGCATTTCCTCCACGTGGCCCAACAATCGTCCTTTTCCACCTTTTCTTTTGCCAAAATTCTTAACTAGTCTCCCGACTACTGGAACGAGGACCTTTATACCAATTTCTTCTTATCAATTTAAACTTCATGTTTGCAGGAATAATAGAGAGCAAACAGATTAAATTTATATTTTGACGAGGAAAAAAAAAACTGTTAATTCTGATAAGCTGAAAAACTGAATAAACCCCAGTATTCGTGACATCTGAAAATTTGGTTTCAGAGCTACTTCATGAGATAAAACAAATTAGACTTCTTTTAGAGTAATTTTAAAGGGATGAGTCACTTCAGCTGATGCTGTAGTTCCAGTATAGACAATCCATCATGGGCAGAATTTCCCACTTCAAAGCTTGAGATGGTTTAGGCTTTGGACACTGATTCAGGAGCAGTTTGATGTCTTTGTGCATCGTGTATGTAGAACAGTCTTTTGTGTAGTGCTATGTTGGCAAAATTATTTGGTAACCTTATTTGAATTGGCAAACATTTTCCATCATAGTACTGAGGACTTGAAAAGTGGCTTCGGAGGGAGATTTTCTTTTTGTTCCAGGAGAATTTTACCACTGTGCATTTTTTGTCTCCTTTTCAAGTTCTAGGAAATACGTGTATTAATAAATCTTATTTTTGATATTGCCCAGCTTTCCAGAATGCCTAAGTAGTCTGTTTATTCTTTCTTCCAGGTACATAATGTGTGAGAGTGTTAAATAAGTAAATTTTCTTTGAAAATTCTGCATCATTAGTGTGAGACACAAACACTGCACTTCCGTGGTGGCCAAGGCTGTGTGTGACAGGTGTACCAGCAGCATCTGTAGTTACCAGCAGTGTCTGTGGTTACCAGCTTCCTTCAGCTGGTTCTGGCTCTTGCTGGGCACCTCTGCTGAGAGCTGCTTCCTGTTTTAGGGCTGCCAGAGAACTTGCACGGTAAAGTGAGCACCACTTCTAGCTTGGTTCACTGACACATCCAGAAAGAAAGAAGTAGAAGCAACAGTTAGGTCAGCTTGAGGAGTTGCCATCTCAGATTTCAGTTCAAATGCCCTTTAGCTGGGTATGCAGCCAAACAAAAGCAGATTACCAGGTGGGTGAAAAACTGCTAATTTCATACTAATTTTCCTGCCAGATTTTTTAGAGTCAGTTTAGTTTGAACTGAGAAGTGTTAGAGCCAGTGAATGGTCCATCTGTGCTATTGAAATTCCTTGTCCACTGCTATATCTATAGGAAAGTGCAGGCATTCTGTTATCTTAAAATGTAATCTGGTTGATTAAGTATTTCTGTGTAAATTTTTTAGGCAGCACATGTGGAGACCCAGCGTTCAAGCAACACAGAGGGCAGTGCCTATTCAGCAGCAGTCACTCAGGGCTATGTTTTACCAGAAGGAAAAATCATGCCCAACACAGTCTTTGTTGGTGGGATTGACTTAAGGGTATGTATACACTTTTAATTGTTTAAAATGGATATAGGGTACATCAGTGGAGAATAAGTGGAAATTTTGCTCCTGTTCTAGTGTGGATTTTTTTACTAGTTTGTGGTGGTTGGGTTCTTTATTTTTTTCTTTGTGTGTGCATTTGCCAATCTAGAAGGTATTGACATGGCATGGGAGAATTCTGGAACATGTCTTGCAAAACTAATCTTTTGTTTTTATGGTGGTAGAAAATGGGTTTTAAAAATTGTACTGTCTGCTTTAAATCAGTTCTAAGCAGTTGAATGTTTTTGAAGATGTTGAAAACCTTGTTGTCTTTTAGATGAATGAAGCAGAAATTCGGAGTGTCTTTGAACAGTATGGTACTGTGAAGGAGGTGAAGGTCATCACCGACAGAAGTGGTGTTTCGAAGGGGTGGGTAGATTATGAGTAGTTTTAAGTTGCTGCTTATGTGAACAACATTCTGTAACAGGTTATATGAACAGATGCTTAGCAACACGCTTGACATGCTTAAGCCTTAATACTAGTTGCAGTTTTCTGTTGTGGTGAGTTAAGTCTGTGAAACCAGAAAATCTATACTGCTCTCTACTAAATCTGTATAATCTTAAAAATAATAGCATTAATTTTCTGATTTTAGCCTTTCTGTTCAGGGAAAAGAAGCTCACTGTCACTCTACCTTTGGAAACAAAGCTTAACTTGTGTGATGCTTACACAGCCAATTCTTTTGTAGGACTCTTCTTCTGCTGGCTAGAGTATTCAAAAATCTGGGGACAGTTCAGGATGATTAAGACAATTAAGATGGCTTATTCAGGGCAGTGACTCTGCCCTCTCCTGACACTTGTGAATAAATTCTAGAGTAAAACAGCCCAAACTTGTTTGGATGAAGACTAAGTAAGTGAACAAAGTTGAAACAAGGGAAATTCCCTTTGAATATATAGAGGAGTTCTGGATTACCGTGGTGAAACCCTTAAATAAGAAGATGAAGGACCTTACCCTGTTGAGTTCTGGGGAAGCCATCCCAGTTTTGAGGTTATCCTTCCTGATGAGAAGGAGACAGGACCCTCTTGAAGTTCCTTCCAGCCCAGTTTTTCTTAGATTCTCTGCTCAGATCCTGGAATGTCACATCTTTTTCTTCAGCATATGTAGCAATGGAAGAGCTGGAAATAAAATTAATTTTCTCTTATCCCTTGCTAGTCTGCAAAGTGAACCCTGCTGTGCAGTTAGCCAGTGTATGTTATAAGTATTGATAATCATTTAACTTATTCCATTAATGGGACACAATTGTTACTATAATGCTCTGAAATTATCTTAAATCGTATAGACCAGATAAACTAGGGAGGCAGTGAAATAAATTGTAAAACCTCTTCAGGAATTGCTTCCCTCTCACTGGTGTTCCTATAATGCCTGCTTTCATCCAGACCTCTGTAGTAAATACAAAATTTAAAGAGAAGTCTGATCTTATTTAAATTTTCAACTTTCTGAGTTGCTACTACTAACAGCAGTACTCATTTTCCGTAGTTAAAATGGAAAATTAGCCCTTATTTCTATTGCATGTTATTCTAAAATCTGGCATTTAGTTTCTTTCATCTGGCTCCATAATAGATACTGCTAGTTACCAGTAAATAAATTTTTAGGCTGAATCATATGCTAATGTCCTAGTTGATAATTTTGATGGGCAATATAATGTATCTGGCACGTTGTTAACTGGTCTTGTTTCAAAGAATTTGGCTAATAATCAGATGAAGCTGATTACTGAGTAGTCTGTTCTTCCTTTTTAGGTATGGATTTGTGTCTTTCCTGGACAATGTGGATGTTCAAAAGATAGTTGAGGTAAGCTCTTTGTCCAAATTACTCTAAGAAATTGAGGTATGAAGGCTAGAGACAAGTTTGTGGAAGCCAAGTTACGTGCCCTGTAGAGTAAGTTAGGACACAAAATATAGGGCTGCCCAAAAGGTGAACTCTCTAAAACGTGTACTGGTGGTTAAAATCTTTATGTATTTGTTTAAATAAGAAGCAAAATTAGTTTTCAGCTGATTAGTTTGTAGCCTGGTGTGGTGAAACATCTCATGTAATTTTGTTTCTGATTGCTCTCATTTATTTATGTGCTTGAAGGCCTTGAGGTGTTCGGCTGCTTGCTTTTGGTAGTGGATGACTGTCGTAGAACCCTTTTGCTTATGGCAAAAATGTAGACATTTGGTTATTGGGATGTCTTGGTTTAAGATCATTAAAGTGAGACACTAAGTAGTCTCTCCTTTAGGTTAACCAATCCCTTTCCACCAATAAGGAGAAACAAATATGGATAGATATAAGTAAAAAAATAACATTTTTCTAATGATGAAGAAAATAGCAACAGGCAAAAAAATAACAGTAATAGTCACTAGTTACAAAGTTGCTGAAATCTCCTGGACTCCCAGGGAACAAAGAGACACTTGAAATGGTGGGGTGACAGCTCCCCAAAGTTGTGGCCTGTGCAGCTGACCAACTGTGTAGTTCCAAAGACAAGGGGGAAATGGTGACAGCCCTCCCCTTCCTTACCTCTTCATTGATGAATGCAGCTGGCACTCTTCAGCAGCTGGTACTTGGTCAAGGGTTAGGACTCTCCGAGGGGTTTGCCTTCCTTGGCAGCAGACAGGCAGGTAAGGCCAGGCAGCTGGGCTGGGGTGGCTCTGCCTTCACTTCTGCAGGGCTGCCCCGTGGTGGCTGCAGACAGGCAGTCCTGGAATTCACCTTGAGCCAGTCCAAGATGCAAGAGAGAAACAAAAGCGGGGGGGAGGGGACCAGAGCAGAGCCTCTGCCTTGAGCAAAGACCATGAGGCAAGAGACAGTGCTCTCTGCCTCAAGCTTCTGAAAGGCTGGGGCACTTGCCCCACTCTTGCCTCATGGTTGTTTTCTGGCTCCCGGTCTTAAGAGACAGTAACAATTTTGGGCACAGATGGATGAGATATAATAACATTTTGGGTTACCTAGGGCATGGGAGTAACAGTATCATGGAAGACAGTATTAATTTTTTACTTACGTCAATACGTTTCTCGGGCAGTATTTGTGCATTTAGATGCACAAGTATTTGTTAAGCCTCCTTGATTGTGTTGTGGCTGTTCCTGTGTGTAGTGTGTCTAGTGCTGGCCAAACACCAGTGCACCCACTAGAACAATTTACTCATTTTCTGCTGCAAGATAAGGAGAAGAGCAAAGCAGGCTCAAAATTTTTAAAGAGTATAAAGAAAACTTTATTAACAGGACTAAAAGAAAAATGGTAAGAAATCAAAATAAACTTTCAGAACACTTTTCCTACCCCCAAGTCCTCTTTCTTTTCCTACTGACAATGTAAAGAGACAAATTAGGTATTTTCAGTCAGTTTACCACTTTTAAAATGTAATCTTCAGTTCATTTAGGGCAAGGAGCCTGTCCTCTCCTGGAATGGAGACCGGGCCTGTGGACGGTCATGTGATCTCTGCTGGGCAGCAGCTGCTCTGACCGTGCTCTCTTTCGGCCCCTGCTGCAGCTAATTCCAGCTGCAGGGCTGCCTCTGTTCTCTGCCCGGTGATTTTTCCGCAGTGCCAGCAGGATGGCTTGGCAGCTCGCAGCCAGAGCGGGGCCAGGCTGTGTGGCGGCAGGATCTCTGCCAACCTGGCTGTGTGGTGGAGCGGGGCCTGGCCCAGCCAGCGTTCAAAGGCCAGAAGAAAGTTTTTCCCAGGCTTTGTTAATTTTAAAATGTGGTTTCACAGAGGCGTGTTCAGCTTTTTTAAAGTGGTTTAGCAGGGTGTCAGTATTTGAAAACAGGCCAGCTGATTGGTTTTATCAGGTCCAAAGAAAGCTGCCAAGGTCCTTACAGAGAATCACTTAGGTACCTGGTGTATTTTTTCCTTAACTGAAAACCAAACTATGTTAAACCATGACACTGTCACCATATAGTTTTCCTCCAGCAAACACAGGACATGAAGGGGTAGAACTGTTACAGACCTTCTGATCTTGGGAGTTTGACATTTAAAATTTCTGATACCATCGCTTATAACCAGATCAGGTACTTGGTTCTGATAGACTTGGCCAGGTCACAAACCACTGACAAAGCTTTTTATTTTCCCTATTTCTCCCCAGCCTGAATACAGTAACTGTGAAAATAACATGTATTGAAATACTTGCCTCTTTGAAGTCTTTACCTCAGAAAGCTCCTGTGTCTCTGGAGGAGGAACAGTCTCTCATTTGCTTCTGAATCTCTTAGATAGGGAAGTAGATCAGAAAGACAAATCCACATAGATGTGCCAGGCACAAATGTAGTGTTCTGTGATGTGCAGATGTGTTTCCTGGCCATCCAGTTCTGTAAGTGGGAAGAGAACATGTTTGAATAAAGTGGAGAGTAATGAAACCCCAGCAGGAGATCCTTGATTCTCACCAGAAGATTTTAAAAGCTTGCTGTTGCTTCATGTCGTATGATAAAAATATACAGTGACTGCTGTACTGAGCAACAGACTTTATCTGAGAACATCTTTTTCTTCTTACTGTGTATTACATTTATTCTGCATCAGTGTGGAATGCTCACTTTGAGGTAACAGTTTCTGTGGAGCGCTCTTGAGTAGTCATTGACATTTGAGCCACGTACAGTACTGTTTTTCTGTGTGAGCTTCTTCAAAACTGGAGCCTGCAGTGTTCCTCTAATATAGTACTTACTGATCTGAGTTTGTATATTAGAGGCATATTGTGAATTTTCTTTTCAGTGCAAATTTCAGTCTGCAGGCAGTACAAATAACCTGCCATCTCAGGAAGAAGCACTTTCAGATAGAACCTGTTGGCTTCTGGAGGGGATTGAAGAAAGGAAGAAACTAACATGGGTGTTGTAGAACTCAAATTTTAGGTTACTGCACTAAATCACTTCAAGCCTTATCTGCATTGAGTGGTCACAGTGTTTTCTGTAAATTTACATGATAAACTAAAATTACTCTTGGTATCTGTGTTCATCTGCCTGTTCAACAATGCCTTGTAGCCTTGTTCTGCCTGACCGTGTTACTCTTCTGCTTTAGGTCTGTAACTGCACTCTGGTCCAGCATGAATCTGTTTGCAGTTCAGAATGGAAAGTTGTCTTTCATTTAGAGGGGAGGTCTGTCTCCTAGGGCTTCTCATTGTTGAGGTGGAAAAGTTAGTTGCATAGTTTTGGGCACAAGAGGATTCCAGCATTAATTAAAAAATGCCCAAAATCAACCAGGACACTTTCCCCTGAAAATAAAAATCAAAAAAGTCCACCTGTCAAACTAGTCAGGATATTGCACCTTTTTTCACCCCGATATATCTGTTGAATCATCTTCTCATACTGATAGAAATTAGAATGAGCAAGATGTTTTAAATCATTATATTTATTCTTATTTTACAGGCAGCAATACAACTGCTGTTGCCTGTTCAAAGCACTTCTTCCTGTAGCAGAAATGGGAGAAAGTTGAAAAACCACATTTTCTTCTGAAGCAGGTGCTTCTGTAGAGTTGCATGTGATAGAGAATCTAGACAGACTGTCTCCATCCAATACTGACTGTAATGCTTGGTACTAAAATTGTGCTAATGGGGCTAAACCAAAAATCTTTGACTAGAAGCCTAAGACTGTGGTCGCTTGCCAATAGTACTCTCACTGAGACAGGAATAGTTAAGACGTGTGTCAGCGGCGGGGCTGACAGTCACTGATACATAGTTGCAAATTCAAGTAGTGCATGTTACTGTTAGGGCAAGTGATACATGATTTTGGTGAGTAGGCAGCTGAGCTGAGGGCACTGCAGGATATCTGTGTTAAAGGCATATGGTCTTGAGAGAGGAGGCTGGAGGCTGTTGAACATTTATGAGAGTTACGTACTGTGGTGTAGAAGCAGAGTCCAGTCTCTTTAGAATCCTACAAACCTCTCACCTTGCTGATTCCCAGCTTACAAAGAATAACCTGTCTTTCAGTCACAAATCAACTTCCATGGTAAAAAGCTGAAACTGGGGCCAGCAATCAGAAAACAACAAAACTCAAGTAAGTATATCTAAGTAAATTTGTTCATATTGCAGGTATTATAATATGTTTTTTTCCTAATTATACATAATTATCCTTGCAAATACTTTTTATCTGATGCAGTATGTATATTTCAGTTAAACCTGGTTTCTGACTTCTGTGACCTCACTTCTATGATATTTTAATAAGAGTGAGGTTGGTATCACAGTACAATACAATTAATATTGAATTAAATTTGAGACTCAAAACCCTTAAGGTTTTTTTCCAGCTTGAATTCAGATTCCTAATTAAATACATGCTATGTCTTAATATTTTTTTTTTATCTGTTTCAAAAGAGGATTCCTGTGTGCATCCCAGACAAATAGTTCTTGGTCCTCCTCCAACACAGTTCCAGAGTGTATGGGGTAATCAGAATATGGAGACATATGTGCAGCCTCCACCTGTCATGAACCCAGTAACACCATATGTTCAGGTAAGACTGCTCCTGACACTAGTTTTGAATCATAATGAAATACTTTTTGAAGGTGCAAGCACGTACAAATTTTGGATCATGGATTGAGAGTCCAATCTGATCTTACCTGCCTGTTTTCGTATTGCCTTCCCCAGTAAGAAGCACCCAACTTCAAACCACTTCAAAGGAATGCCAGCAACCTTGAAAAACTGATTCAGTGCTGTTAACTCATTATAAAACAAGAGGGAGATACCCTTTAAGAATGAGAGCTATTGAAAGTTGAGGGAAGATTGAGTTATTATTGCCTGTCACAGATGCAGTTCACAAATGAAATGTATCCAGATATTTAATGTGTTGCTGTCCTGCTTCAGAATAAACTACGAAATTTAAAACGTATTTTTGTAAACTAAGACTGGGATCAGAAGGTATTTCAGGTACCTTTCTCTTCTAGCCAAACATATCCTTGGTTTTCAACTGCTGTTGTGTTATAAGAGCACTGTTCCAGCATCTGCTGTTAATAGCTGTGCCCAGCACAGTATTCCCTGCAGGACATCACTGTACTGGTACTTCAGATGAACATTCCTTCTGAGGTGTGGGTACAGTGCTTCTGGCTTGGATATGAGTCCTGAACCAGATCAGGCTCTTACTGCATTAGCCTGTATGATGGGGCAGTACTGACTACAGTCTGATCCTGTTTTGTATATCTTAAGCAAAGAGGAAGAGCAAACTTGCAGAAATACTTTCTTGCAAGGCAGAGAGCTTGATAGTCTTCTTGCTGGTTCTCTTTAGTTTATTAATTTAAGAGCATTAATTCTCTTAAAGGCTGGAATGTGCCTTTAACTGTTCCCCAAAGAATCTGAGGATTCATGTTAACAGTGTCAGAATACTTTCAGGAAAGAAATACGAGGAAATTGTCTTAATTACAATATTTAGCTTCCTTTGCCTTCTAGAAACTGATCCTTCAGATTGTACTCCATTATTTCATAGTAGTCAGTCTGCTTCAGATCTGCTTGTCAAAGTTTATGGCATGACTTGCACTTCTGAAATTACTTGAAAGATCAGTTACAAGAAGAAATGGGATTTTTAGATCTATAAGACTTGGAATCTCACTTTATAGATGCTATTAGTGCTTGAAGTGCTGAAGCAAGCCCGGTGAGAAATCTAAGGGTTGCTTTTAAATAGTGAGTGTAGTCTGGACAGGAATTGAAATAACAGTGTAGCTTCTAAAAATGTGCTGCTGGCTAATACCTGTACAAATATCATACTTGTATCTTGCTTCAAACTTGTGGGGTTTTTTTTAAAAAAAAGCTTTCTTTGCAGCCCTATCCATACAGTTCATCACCAGCTGTACTGCTAAAGCAGCAAGTTCCCATAGGCTATCAACCAGCTTACAACTATCAGGTATGTAAAGTTTTAGTAGAAGCAGAAAGGCTGTTGGATACATGACTAAGCTGGAATGAAGTGTTAACTGGAGTCTAATCTCTGTGCTTCTCATTCTTGGAAATCTATTTTCCTTCAGTTCTTCACAGCTACCAAAGCAAAAATAAAATAGTGATGAAAACCACTGAATAACTTAGCACACTCTTCTTTTTATAGTTTCATTACTTGTTTTATTGCAGTATATTTAAGAAAAAACTTTGAAATTAGAGAAAAGTGTGTGAATTGGTACTTGTGGGAGGGAGCTTTGCATTTGTACATGCTGTAGTGTGGGATTCAGAATCTTATCTATTCTGTTTGATGTATGTAAGGGGGATGGGCTCTTGCACTATAAAAATGTAAGAGAAAGTGTTTAGCTGATAGTGGGGTTTGAACTCACAAGTGAAGTGGGTGGCTATGTCCTTTACTGATGCTAAACTAGGAGTAACTGGAAGCAGCTAGAGGCTTGAGATCTGTTTTCAGTGTTGGTATTTGGTTTCCCTTATTTTCCTGATATTTAGAAATAATTATTAATTTTCTTTAATTTGGAGTGAGAAGGCGATAGTTGAATAAAATAAGGTATCTTGCTGGATGTAAGAATATTTATTAACTAATTGTTTTGAGAAAAATCCAAACATGAAATGCTATAAGCAGTGGCTCCTACAGAGCAGTTACTTGTCTGTGTTGGAAATGAATGAGTAAAAGGTGCTTCTTGTCCAATTTCTGTTTAAGGCTCAACCACAGTGGTTTGCTGGGGAGCCAAGAAATTATGTAGTACCTCCAGCTCCGGTAAGTCTACAAAGTTAGACATCTGAAACTGTCTTCTTAATTAGCACATTATTTTTAGAGCTTGATACTTTAAAAAGTCTATTGTCTGGATCTGTGTAATCTGGTCTACAAAAACCTGTAATTGCTGATAAGATTGTGTTCAGAATTTCTACTGATGTAGTGCTTTTTTGAGTTACCTGGTGGAACAGATCTGCCTGTTTTTGGCACTAGAACTACATGTTCTAGTCAGAATTCTGGAATTCTAAATAAAATGGAGTTGGTTTTTCTGGAAAGGTTGAAGGAAAAATAAGTTGACCTAATGCACAATTTTTTTGAAGCTTAAAAAGTCTCCATGTTCTTGGCAAATACTGATGAATTTTTTTGGCTCCTTCCAATAAGTTTTAAAAGTTTTTCCAGGCTGCTACAAACTGTAGATGGTGCTGCTGGCCTCTGAAAAAATTCATTGCTTTCTGTGACTTAATGCAAGTAGTGCCTGTGTGAAAGGGGAAAAAATACTCTGTATTTGTTTACAATGTCAGAATTTAAACTTGCCCCGTGGACATTTTTAGGTATATTTATTGACTACAGTTTTGATTAAGTGTTTAAAAGCTGTAATAAATAATTTTCTTGTGAATGGTGTTCTTTTCCTGAAAGCTGTCACAAGTCATTGAAATATTGATTACACTATTGGCTTGAAATAGTTTTTTTTAATAACATCCATAAATGTGGTACAGCCATAATGTATCACTTTACAATTCAATGGTAGCAGGCCAAAATGTTTTTAGAGTAGGTGTGCATGGGAGTTTCACTGTTAAATGTTACAAGCTTGATTGTAGGAGCAGACACCTGTTCCAGAACTATCTCAGTTAAGCAACTTTAAGTATCATTCTTAACTGTCTTAGTAAAATGGGTCATGACACAGTATTTCCCCTACTCATGAGACTTCAAAACTGTGAAGATAAAGTTGTCACAGTTTACGGATAGATGAGGATCACTGACACCATAACTGTGCATGTTTTTCCAGTGTTACTGAAACATTGTAATACTTAAACTCTATAGATGTATACTTCAGTGAACTATCATGGCTCTGAGGATCCAGTATTTATACAGATGGAATGTGCTGTTCCAGATCTCATGCAGTTGCCTAGCAGCCCACAAAAGGTAAGTGCTTTCTTAAAACTTTAATATTCTTTATGATAAATAACATTCACAGAAATTTGCACATGAGGGTTATGTGGCTTTGTCAAGGGCCTTGGACAGATATCCTAGAAATCAGGGTTATAGTTGCCACGTTCAGCCTGTTGTTAAGTCCCATGTATCTGTACAGCTTCAGAAGTCTCACATTTCCTTGAAACTGTCAGTGCTTGTTTGCAGTGCTGAGGGCTGGAAAAAGTGTGTCTTCTACTTCATTAAGTCTACTGACAAGACTTTGCCTAATCTGTGGAAATTCCAGGGAAAATTACAGGTACTAAAAAAGCAGGTTGGATAGCACTGCCTGCTGTCTTAGGTAGATTTATTTTAAGCTTCAAATATCTGAGTTGGTAACTTTCTCCCTTTCTCACTGTTTTGTGGAAGGTAGCCCCAATTTAGTGAACAGTTGGCTCTGAATTCAGTTTTCTAAAGGAGAAATTTCATTTCTCAGCTGTCAGCCTCATCCACAAGAGAACTGGCGTGTCATTGATTAGAATTGTTATGCTGTAACACTGAAGGGGGATAACGAGTTAGTAATTTTAAGATTTGGGGGGGGTGGACAAAAAAATTACAAGTGTCTCACAAGGCAGTTGAGGAATCCTGATTTCCAAGTAAACCCTGTCACACACTGGCATTGTTAGCTAGTAATGCTCCAACTAAGAAAGTAACTTACATGTGCACCTATAACTGTATTTCAGAAGTGTGTGGACAGGGCCATGCAAACAGTAGTATCCTGTCTGTCTAATCCTGAGAACCAGCTGACAAATGACTTTGTATCACAAGACAGCAGTGTAAAGGTATGCAGTGAAAGTAAAATTATATCCCTGAAACATAGCTGACCTTCAGTGTGTTGACCTACAGGGTACCATAAAGATGAAGCAATTCATATCTGTGAATGACACTTGAATTTTTTCTTCCTTGTACATGCTCTGAGATGTTTGGCTCTCAGTTGCTTAATGGTGGAAAGAAGTGGTGAAATTGGATTCAGTGGGTTTAATCAGGACAGCATGAAAAATTGCTGAACAGTCAACTAATGAACAATTAGAGCATAAGTCTGGCTAGTCATTTCTCAGTGACATGGCTGAAAGCAGTAGATTACTCCCTAGTTTGGACAGAGGATGTTGAGTTTAAACCTTGATAGTCTTTACAGTGAAATAGCTACTGTGGATGGTGGCTAGTTATGCTTTATTTCTGCTTTAACCAACAAATTGTAGTCCAGGTTGGTAGCTGGTTGTAATTTTTTTGCTGTATGTGTTCTGTTTTTGTAGATTTGCAATCTCTGATTACATTGCAAGTCATGTGTAATTTCAGGTTATGAATTTCTAAGACCTTGCTTCCTTTTTGTAAAACAACAGATATGTGAACTAGACAGTTGTACTCTAAAATGAGAATGTAGCAGCTGTGTTTTGTAAGTTTTGGAGAGGGGTGAGTAGAGCACAGGGTGCCTGGAGATAGTTTGCATGAAACTTTGGTTCCTTTATTCTGATTGAGTTTTTTTTCTTGTCCTCTCTTCTATCCCATCCCAGGAGGGTAAGACATTCCACTTCAGAAAAGGAAAGACAGTACACAAAGCCATTTGATCAACAAAGACTTCAGAGTATCTAAATTAATTAACTAGATGGTACTGCAGTTCAATGTAGCAATACAGAATGTAACATTTCTCAGTTACTTCAAGTTATGTTTGTGCTCATGTTCTACCTGTTCTGATACTGTTGTTGCTTGAATAGTTTGAAGTTCAAAGTTGTAAGACTTGATAAACTTCAATGTTACTGTTTGTGTCTTTCCCCTGATAGCTGACTGGAATGTTAAAGAGTTTGTATGTTTCCTTTATGTGGATTTTTCTCTGAGCTTTAAGGTACAGTTTGCATATTACACATTGTTTTTCATTAACACACGGTTTTTCGTTAACTACAATTTGACTCATATTGACCAGTTAACTCCTGCAGTTTAAAAATGGAAGTAGTTATTTGCCCAAGAGAATGTGTTTTAAGACTGAGCTTTTAAATCAGTGCAAAAGATGAGAAGTTGAGCTGAACGCCTGTAAGTCCTGCTTGCCTTTAGATGACATAATCAATGTGATTATGTTCATTGATGACAGTCTCTGTACCTGCAGTCTTGAGCATCACTATTATTTTTGGGTAAGTAATGAAGAGAATCCTAAAATTCCTGTATGTAACTTAAAATGCAAGAATGTTATCTGTATTGGACACTCAGTCAGCCAATACAAGGTTTTTTTACTTGAAAAATCTTAGCAATGCCTGTATTTTAAACTTCTGAGAAAATACTGCACTTATATAAACCTTTGTTATATGATGCAAACTGTTAATCAAAGAATGTGTATGACTGTTTTAATAATCATGTAGATTTTAGATGTGTATTGTGAAACAGTGAAATAAATTTTTACTTTGCTTTGGTTTCCTAAATTTCTGGTGTGACAAATCTAAATAACAGCTTGTTAAAGCTGTTAAAAACTTACTACTCTATGGGAAATTTCCAGTTGCTATAAATCTCTAGTAACAAACTTTCATTTTGTGTAGATGCTAGCTGAAGCTTCAAAAAAATAGAATTGTGTATGTGTTGGGTCCTAGCTTGCCTTTTTTCCCCCTACTCAAACACTTCAGTCTCTCCAGACACTAAAAGAAAAACTATGCCTCTCTTGTTAAGGATATGTGTGTGTATATATATATATAATACATGAGCCTGTTTTGGACTGAATGTCCAGCTTTAAATTTCCAGAACGTTAGAACGTTTAGAGATAGAAATGGCTAGGCAAAGACTTAGCCAGAAATACATGTTAGTGAAATACAGAGAAGGGAACTGGATATGTAAGATACTATGGCTAGAGCAAATGTCCAAGGACTGCTTCTCAGGAGTGTTGTGGATAAAACTGTATTTAAGGAGGGTGGGGGAGAACGATAAATTTTTTTTGAGCCACTTTATGCAGCTTTGTACCAATGTTCTAATAGCATAAATTAACCTGGGAAAAGCAAAGCCCATACCAGTTTCTCTACTCACTGTTTCATGTTACTGAAGATAGTATTGAGTGTGCTCCCATGATACTGATTTGCCATGTTTTTTTCAGACTCCTGTTTTAAAGATTATGGCTTGATTGTGCTTAACTTCTGTGTTAGCAGCTTTTTTGCAATGGTTTTTCCAGTATTGAATCAGGACCCTGTCCTTTCCAACTTTCAGTATCTCAACAAACTGCATGTTGTTGCAAAGCTCTGATGTTAGTTTATTGATAAAAGGTAGTTGTTTCTTTGCAAATGCAGAGTTCTTTCCAACTTGATTTAAGTTGGCTTGGTTGTCCCAGACCTTAATTGTAGGCTTTCTGCTGTATCCCTTAGAAAATACAGAGGCCCCTATGCATAGCTGTTTCATTGAAGAGTCCCACCACCAAAAAAGAGCTTAAACCAGAAGATGCCTACATAGAGTACAGTTTTCTGTTTATTTGATTGAGTGTTATGCACAGGATCATCTGGTGAGCAAGTTGATTGTACAGTGCGCTTGAAATGGTACTAGGTTCTTACAGGCATGCTGAGAGGTTTTATCACAGGGGAATAGCCAAGACTTTACAAATGTATATATTTTTTTTCTTCCATTAGATCATGTTGTGCTGGTTCTGCTAGCTGCTTACCTGTAGAGCAACCCATGCATTTTTAATGTTCTTTTGATCTATAGTACATAACATAAGGTACAACACAAAACCAAAAAGTACATCTCTTTCCTGTTGCATTCAGAAAATTGAGACATCTGTTTAACATTGCTGTGATTGAAGGCATTTCCAAAATTAGTGCATGGTTGGAGCATTTTGCAAATTTGTACCCCTTGTATTCTCAAATCAAGTGGACCATGTTAACTGTGAATTAGCAGGCAGTAGTCAGTCCTTTTGCATCCGCATGTGCTTGCACACAGTGTATGTTCTGTGAGAGACTCAAAAACTTTGGGTGTACTTTAAATATTAAGACAGCTCTTTGTCAAAAGAAACAATTGCGTAGACAAGATAGAAAAATACAATGCTTGCATTTAATTGGTGTTCTAGAGCTATGACACTTGGTTTGTTTTATTTCTTATCTGAAGTACCCCACTTTGCTGTTTGATGACCTTTTCACATCTTTTTAAACCCTGTGCCACCTGACAGAATTATTCTTGGAATGAGACAGCCAGACAGATGGTATTCTTGGATCTCCATTAGATTGTCTGGCACAGATGCTAATTCCCTCTCAAAATGGAAATATTTTTTTCCTTCTAGGTATTTGTGTGCTAAACTGTATTAATCTGAAGGTGATGTGATCCTTTATTGCTACAGAGAAACGAAAGTGTTTTCCCTTTTGTATTTCACAGGGCTTTCTTTTGTATGCCTTACTGAAAGAGATTTTTGAAGTCCTCTAACAGATCTACACTCTATATTCCTTGCAAGAATTACTTTCTAGACCAGTATTTTAGAAGAGATGTAAAATTTAAGAGCTTTAATGTCTGCCAATTTTAATGTTGCTGAGAAAGTTTTAAAATTATTCCAAGCTGTTAAGAAAATTGAGGTTTCTTCAGGTAGAATATGCATCTCAAAAATCCTGAAGTAGCTTTACAACCCAGGATTCTTACTTCCTGCTTCGTTTCTGCTCTAAAATTTGAGCTGAAGCTTGGGAGACAAACTCATATTGTAAGGTTTAGAGAAAAAGGCCTCAGCTGAGTTTAAAAAGACATCTGTATTGTCCCAGTGACTGTTCAAGCTTCAACTAAAGGGTTTGTTTGTGGTTTTTTTTTTATTTGGTGTGGGTTTGGTTTTGTTTTGTTTGGGGTATTTGGGGGTTTTTTCCAAGTAGTATGAATTTGTATAGTGGGTGCTCAAGACAAACATGAAAAAGGATTTCCTACTCCTTCACCTTAAGGTTGTGAGACTGTAGAAAGTATAGAAATGAGGGCAGGATTTATATTTAAAAACATGTTGCTTAGAATATTGATGCTGCTAGTCCAGAAGCAATTACTGTATGGATAGTTTTTCTGATTTTAATTATCTCAAAAATTCTAAATATGTACTCAAAGGTGCATGCTATAGCTAATATATTGCTGATGTGGTGGGATATTAGAAGTACTGTTTATAAGACAGTACTGATGGGTCAGCAGTACTCCTTCTCTTTGGATGTGTGTATCATGCCCTTTAAGCTTCTGTTCACCTTTTTCTGTAAGTAGGTGTCCAAATTTCAGGATATTGTTTAAACTACTTGGTGTTCATACTGGATGACCTTAAAAGATCCCTTTCAACCCAAACTGCTCTATGATTCTGTCAAGGAGTCTGCTTTCCCCTACCCCATCCAGGATCACTCTGGATTTAATTGTTTTAGGCTGTCTTAATAATGGTTTGCTGTGTGGTGCCCTTTTTGTCTGGAACAAACCTAACCAAATCTCTTTTCACCTATTATTTTGTGCTCCTCTATGAAAGACTCTTCAATGAACTTTTAAACTTCTTGTAAAGTCTTCCTAGAACAATTTAGAATTAAACCCACCAATTTAAATAGAGGTTGTCTTCTTTTCCTAGGAAAGAATTTATGCTTACAACTGTAAATTAATTCGTGCATCTTTTCATGGGATGGCTTGAGTTGGAAGGGACCTCTAAAGATCATTTAATTAACTCCCCTGCAATGAGCAGGGACTTATCCAACTAGGTCAAGTAATTCAGAGCCCTCTCCACTCTCACCATAAATGTTCCCAGGGATGGGACATCACCATTCCTGGATGACCTATTCTGGTGTCTTGTAGACCTCACAGAAATGTCTTCATTCTGTCTGGTATAAATCTGCTGTCTTAGTTTAATGCCATAACTCCTTAACTTACTAAAATGTCTCAGTCTTTCTTACACGTTCCCTTTAGTGGTGAAAGGCCCCAGTGTTGTCTCCCTGAAGCTTCTCTTTCCAGGGTGAGCAATCCTAGCTGTCTTCACAGCAGAGTTGCTCCAGCCCTCTGATCATCTTTATGGCCCTTCTCTGGACCTGCTCCAACAGGTCCTGTGCTCAGTACTCCAGGTGGATGCAGTACTCCAGGTGGTTTCACCAGAATGGCAGAATTACTTTGCTTGGGGGAAAAGGGGACAAACAACCAACCCAGTGTTTTGACCTGTAGCAGTTAATAGGGTCATGCGCTGCCGAGTTGTGCAACCATCCAGTTCTTAGCATAAGTAGATTTTACTATTCCTGAGTGTAAGGAAGCAGTTAAGTTATTAAAATGGGATTAGTGGCTCCTATATATCACAAAAAAAGATAAATAATGCCTTTTATAAAACATGTAAAGAGGATCCTACATGCATACAGTGAAGTAATCATGTAGAAATGTGTTCTGAGCACACACACTTCAATTTCTAGCTTTTAGGAGGACAGTGAGGCAGGGAATTAGAATATGAATTTGTCAGAGGCCATACACTTAGTCAGAATCATTTAGGTTGGAGAGGATGTTTGAGATCGTTGAGTTCAGTCTGTTAATCTAACACTGCTGAGTCCAACAGTTTCCCCAAGTGCCACACCTCAATACCTCTAGGAATAGTGACTGCTTTTTTGGGCAGCCTGCTCCGACACTTAACAGCTCTTCT